TTAAAGTCTTAAGTCTTAACTGGGTTTATTTAGAGGAAAACAGCATCACGTTAATACATATTTGGACCAATAACAGTGACAGGTGTTTGAAGCACCTTGAAGTTTCGATATGAGCTTTAATAGCAGGTTAACATAAGAAAATCATTAATATTTAGACTAAACCTGCTGTTCATGATCATGACGCTGAAGATAAACAAACACAGAGCTGAGAGTGAGAATCAAACCCTCAAAAGAAGAGAGCAGCGCCCAACGTAGAGCTTAATTATAAATCATGTCAAAATATCATATTTACCTGGTAACAGTATGAAATAACAGAGATGAAATCTGATCAGTTAATCTTCACACTGCTCAGCTGAGGAGGCTGATGAGCTCCACAAAACCTCATAAAGAGTCCGATTTGAGCCGAAGCTTCCGGACGGTTTCCAGACTGCAGCACGTCTCAACATCTGCTCTAATTGTTTACAATCCAAAAAGCGCTGGATTTAATAATGCTTCCCAAATTTGGTCCAAATGTGTGGAAAATATCAAAGTACACAGCTGTTCCTGAGCTTCTGTGAAAAATCATTAGAGAGGATCACTGAGCTTGTCCAGAAAAACTGACCACAGTCTGATATCTAAAATTCAGGCTCCATTCAAGTGTATTACAATGTCCTACCCCCCAATCATCTGTCCCACCTGTCTGTTGTCTGAAGCCCCGCCCTCTCATTAGCCCCAAGTGTTTTGTTTTGTGTGTTCACGTCTAGAGGTACGGTGTCCTGATTCTTGTTGAGATAGAGGAGCAGGGTGAAGTGTTACGGCCACCTGACCCTCCAAATGAAGGTTTTTCAGAGACGCCAAACAGAGTGATATGAGAAAAAAAGGAAAACTGGTGAGATGGCTGAACAAGAGACCAAAGAAACCCACGAATGTGAGAATTTTCTCTGTTAAAAAAATTACAATAATCATCATATTATCTTAGTTTAATGTTGTTTCAGTGTATTATGGTCTTTTTTTTTCCATAACAAGGATAAAACATCTCTAGTAGTGCTGACGTCTCAGTAGCTAAATTTCCAGTTCTACCTTAAATGGCTGCAGTTACATTCTGGCACCTCAGGCATCAGAACTGCTGCTCCATTTAAGGTGGAACAGGAGAATTCGAACAAGAAGCTGGTGAATATCTAGTTAATATGGCAAAATATTCTGAAATATTCTGAAATACATTTAGTGTTTGGAATGTATTTCAGCATCGACTGCAGAGTGTTTGAAATGTATTTATGATATATAAAAATATATGTCCATATATATATGATGCCCTAAATGTAACTAAAGCCCAGCAGTGAGGAGCTGAACTTTACCCTCCTCTGCTGTCACTGCAGACTGGCAGGGTCGCCTACAGAGCAGCGCTGGTAGCTGTTAATGAAGTGATGCTCTTTTTATTTGAGGGTCTCATTTCAGAGGAAGATTTCAACCACTACCCTGTAGCTCAGTTCCAAGGAGCAACACTTGAAAACAAGGAGTAAAAATAAGAAACTTTTGGTGGTTCTTTTCATTTCTTTAGTATGTTCCTTGTTTTGCTTTTCTTTTGTTTCTGGGTTTTTCTGTGCTCCTTCTTCATGGACAACAGTATATCTGCTGGCTCCGTCTTCCATCCTGCCTTCTCGTCTGCTTCGGTTTCCAACACGTCACGTGTATTTGTGCAGCGCTTTTTACTCCAGACTGAGCAGCTTTACAGAAACCCGAGTCTGAGACCCAAACGAGACGAGCCAAGAGGAAGAACAACATCAGACTCAGAAGGAGAACCCACCCTCCTCTGGTCCACATCGGAAACCAAAACAATAACAACGAGAGTTTCATTTTTGAGTTTTAATTTTAATGTTTCTTCTCTTTTAAATTCTATTGTTTTAATCATGTTTTAAACATGATCTTGATCTCTACTCTCCTTCAATTTGTTACTTTTGAAATTATAATGTGAATTATCTTTGTATTTCATCATTTGTGAAGCACTTTGAATGACCGCAGTGTATGAAAGGTGCTCTATAAATAAACCTGCCTGGCCTTCTAAGAGATATGAATAAAGAAATTAGATGAATCAATAGTCAATAAACTATCTTTCTGACTGACCAATGAAAACTCATGACTAATGTTAGAATTTTTCAGATGTTCTTTAATCAAATCAGCTGATTAGGCAACATTAGGTTACAGTCCACTCTGAGTTTACCCTGCAGGTAAAAGTGGCTCAAATCTACTTTTTTCTTTATATTTGTTTGTCAGTGTAAACAGCAAAAAACACACTGAATCCATTCAGATCCATTTAGATTTGGGCCTGAAATTCAATAATTAATTCCAATACGCTGCGATGTAGCCTCTGTCTGAACGGACAGATCAGAATTAATACGACTTCTACGTCAATCAAACTCAATCATCATCATCTTCATCACTATTTTGCATGTGAGGGAACAGACCTAACAGCAGCATCTAAAGTCTTTATGATAAACAGACAAATAGAGCTTGTTTTCAGCTTAGCTAACGTGACTGACCTGGTCACACGCTGTTTCTCCTTGTACCGCTTAGCTGGAAAGTTCCTGAAGAGTCAGTTGCTGATACCAAACCTGATAAAGACTTTATTCCATTAAATCTAATTAGGACAGTAAAATGGTCGAGTTGTCCAACTGTTTAGTTCTGTGGACCAAATAGATCTTAGTTTCAAAACTGACCAAAGCCTCAGCAGGTGAGTGTAACAGATGGAGCGCTGATACGTAAAGAACTTTAAACGTTTCACTTTTGAAATATTCAGTATCCACTTTCTCAGAGGGACTACGACTTTTACACAGTGCTGTCTCCGTGCCCCCCACATACCCACCCCCCGACCCCCACCCCCCGATGTTTGCAGGGTGATATTTATGGTGGTACAGAAACGATCCTGACAGCTGCGCCCTGCGCCATCAGCACACACACCACTCAGAGGTGTGTATAATTTTGCATGTCACTCTCTCTTTCACACGGTTAGTATGCAAGTTCAAACACACACACAATCCACCACAGGTTCACTTATGATGAAACACCTACCACCACCAGATCAACACTACCTCACCACTACCTCACCATCAGATCACCAGCTCACCACCACCTCACCATCAGATCACCAGCTCACCATCAGATCACCGGCTCACCATCAGATCACAGGCTCACCATCAGATCACCAGCTCACCACTACCTCACCATCAGATCACCAACTCACCACCACCTCACCATCATATCACCCCCTTACCATCAGATCACCAGCTCACCAACTCACCACCACCTCACCATCATATCACCCCCTCACCATCAGATCACCACCTCACCATCAGATCACCAGCTCACCACCACCTCACCATCAGATCACCAGATCAGCACCAACTCACCACCACTTCACCAGGTCACTATTAGATCACTACCACTTCACCACCACCTCACAATCACATCACCACCTCACCATCAGATCACCACTTCACCACCACCTTACCATCAGATCACCAAATCACCACCACCTCACAATCAGATCACAACGGCACCACCATCAGATTACTAGATCACTACCACCTCAGAGCACCCCGCGCCACTCAGAGCACCCCGCGCCACTCAGAGCACCACTCAGAGCACCCCGCGCCACTCAGAGTACCACTCAGAGCACCCCGCGCCACTCAGAGCACCCCGCACCACTCAGAGCACCACTCAGAGCACCCCCGCTCCACTTAGAGCACCCCGCGCCACTCAGAGCACCACTCAGAGCACCCCGCTCCACTCAGAGCACCCCGCTCCACTTAGAGCACCCCGCGCCACTCAGAGCACTACTCAGAGCACCACTCAGAGCACCCTGTGCCACTTAGAGCACCCCGCACCACTCAGAGCACCACTCAGAGCACCACTCAGAGCACCCCGCACCACTCAGAGCACCACTCAGAGCACCCCGCACCACTCAGAGCACCACTCAGAGCACCCCACACCACTCAGAACACCCCACGCCACTCAGAGCACCACTCAGAGCACCACTCAGAGCACCCCGCACCACTCAGAGCACCACTCAGAGCACCCCACGCCACTCAGAGCAAGAAGTTTCCTTTATCTTCACTGTTTATCAGTTTATAATAACAGTGAAGACTTCAAAACTAGGAATGCACTGAAACAGGCCTTCAATGAAGCATCACAATCTAACAATTTCACAGATAATTATAATGATAATGATAATGATGATGATAATGACTCCAACCCTGATTTATATAACTGATTCATTGGTTCACTGCTGCGATCAGGAAAAGTGCAGGCTGGCGGTCTGTCCATCACTAAATATTCCACATTACACACAATGTTTCTTTCAACAAATCAAAATTCTCACGCAAACATTATAAATTGTAAAAACATCAAAAACATCATTTGAAAATGTTGTTATTGACCTTTTTTCTGTGGACAAGTAAAAAAGTAGTAAAGCACTGATTAACCTGTTAAAGTCTTTAAAAAAGTCCAGGATCCCAGATGCACTTTTTGAATATTAAATGTTTATAGAACACAAAGTGTGTATTTACATGTACAGTTCACTGTATTTTTAGAAGTCACTCCAGTCTGACTCTGGCACGTCGAAGGCTCCAACAATCGGCCGAAATACAATCTAGAGGAAACAGTGAACTGGCCAAACATTTTCTGCGCTTGAACACGCATTATCTCCCTGCCAAAGTGCACCAATCAGGGTCGGACTGGTGAAAGAGGGAAAGGTCAGAGGTCGCGTGCAGGCCCAGGTGGAGTTTTTTCAGCTAATGCCACGTAGCTGCCACTGCGCTAAACTACAATATAGCTTTTGTGCGTGTTTTCGCGGTGGAAGCTGGGGCCAAACCAGCTGAGGTCAGCCGAAATACAAAACCACAAACCTACTGCTCTGATCCACTAACGAGGCTAACAAAGGCTCAGGCCCGGCCTGGAATGCGCAGTGACCCCCCGCCACCCCCAACATGCACAAACGCCCGGCATACTGGGACAGAAACACTTACGTCCTCGTCCTTCTCCAGCTCCAGCCCCATCTCCCTCAGGTTCCCCTCGAACTCCTCACGACGGAAGCGCTTGTCGTCCTCATGGTGGTCAGCGCTGGTCTCCTGCGGGCCCGGTTCGGGGTCCGGCTCAGCAGAGCGCGTTTGGGTGCGGGTGCGCCGCAGGCTGCGGGTCAGGGCGTTGTCGGTGAAGCGTGAGGAGTGCCTGCGGGCGCGAGAGCCGCTGGGCTTCTTTACCTGGTAGGTCAGAACGTAATCCACTCTCCGCTCCCCATCCTGGAAGTACAGGCCGTGCCGGCATTGAGCCGTCTCCTCCGGAGTCAGAGAGTTCAGCAGCTGGGGAGAGTGGGGAGGGTCCAGCATTAGACACACCGGGGGGCTAGACACGTGTGTATGTGTATGTATGTGTTTGTATGTGTGCAGGTGGGATGTGGTTACTGCAGACAGAGCAGCAGCCTCTTCTTAAAACTTTCATCTGTGGAGTCATTTGAATAACAGCAACTTTGCTCAACATACCTTCAGCCCAGCGTACAGACACTCACTCACTCAAAGGTGCACATTTATCACAAACAGTGCAATAAAGCCAGCGCTGCGCGTCTGTTAGTGACGCACTGCCACTCACATTTATCAGTTCAAGTACAAACAAAAATGTAGCTAAAATTAGTAGCAGCGTCTTAAAGCTTGAATTGTGTCCATACTTTTGTTCACGCGTGTAGATAACAGCATGAAACATGACACAAGTCTATTTAAGATTCCTTTGTTGAGTTTTCTTCCAATTTGTCCATTTCATATTGGAATTTCCCATTCTGTCTTAAATGAAGCAGCGGAATGTAACAGCTGCACCTTTCAAAGTGGATAAAAAGTTTAAATAAGAAGTGGGTAAATTGGAAGAAAACTTCCAAAAGCACATCTCTAATGATTTAAGAATGCAGTTAGCACCAGGCTTCCATTACATGTTAGCTGTATTAGCCTTGTAGCTCAAGTGCTAAAACATCATATACTAGAAATATCTATGTTTGGGGGAAAACCTGAGTAAATTAGATGTTCCTGACCAAAAGCTGGAGCAAAGAAATTAAACCTAAATGGAGAAATATGTCAGTAATATTATTATTACATTTTTACACATAATTCTGCTCTGAATAAATAACTCAACCTGCCAAGTTCAGTACAAACTGCAGTCTGAACTCACATACCTCAGACTGCATAACTGTATTATCAGCAGTGAAAATATTTTCAAACTCCCTGCAAAGCAGCGTGAGTATCTGGACAGTACTGACCTGACGGATCAGCTGACCTGACTGATCGGTTGACCTAACGGGTCGGCTATTCTATAAACACAGACACAAAACTGAACTTCAGTTTTACTCTCTAAATACAAATGTCTTATGCAGTGGTGGCATATGTGACCCTGCTGGATGCCGTCAGAGAGTGAAAGATAATATGATACAGAGGGAGAGAGAGAAAGAGAGAGAGAGACAGAGAGAGACAGAGGGGGAGAGAGACAGACACAGAGAGAGGGGGGGGGGCAGAGAGAGAGAGAGAGAAAGAAAGAGAGAGAAAGACAAAGAGAGACAGAGAGAGAGAGAGGGAAAGATTTCATACTCCAAAACTTTACCACAGCTGTGCTATAGACAGAGAAAAGCATTAAAAGCTTTTAAACCTTTAAAATTTAAGTAGGAACTCCACCCAATTTAAAAATTCCCCCATAATTCAGTGGGAGAGATGTAAACAGAGTGATTCAGAGTGGTTTGGTGTGAAATGGTTCAGATGTCTTTACAGTGGTGGTGATAGGAACCAGGGGTCGCCATGACTACAACACAAATATAGACATTTTATTTACTATCCAGAACCACCAGTGAACCTACACGAGTCTTCTGAGTTTATATGGAATGTTGATGATGGAAAATAGTGGAAAATCTGAAATAATAAGTTTTCTTTGGGGACTATTTTGCCTCACAGCGCCCTGCATGTATCCCTCCACCATGAATGGAGTTTAAGTTCTCTAAACTATCATAAAACAGTGTCTCAGTCATCAGGCAGAGAATTCATAACCATTTCATGTAGGAACTTTCTGTGAGGGAGCTTTTAGAGGTGGACGTCTGGTTCCTATCACCACCACTGTGAACAGTTCTGACTCGGTAAGTTTCTCTAGAAACCAAACCACTCTGAACCACTCTGTTTACATATTTACCCCTTCATTATGCAGAAATTCTGAAAAATCAGTGGACTTCCCATGAGTTTTGTGTAAATTCTTAATGTAAATGCAAAAGTTTAAATGCAAAGGGTTAAAACAGCAGCTGAGTAATCATCACTCACACTTTAAATCAAGACTTTAAAGGTAAAATGTGAAACAGAACTAAATGAGCTCAATTATGAATGTATCAATGACTCATTCACTTATAATTAGCTATTTATAGCACACAAACTCTGCTTAATTAATATGTAATAATTAAAAAGAATCTAGATCTTAATGGTCCTAAAGTCTAATGGCTCAGTGTTTCTCATTTAGACTCCTGTTTGAAAAATGGCTCCTTCATCAGGATCCGAACTTCTCAGTTAGACTACAAAGACAAAACTCCGCCTCTGCCACACGGCACCTCCGTAATAGGATGTGGCTCACTGTAGATCAACTTTAAGTATGTGGCATTATGGGTAATAAAGTGTCCTAAACCTAAAGAACTTCTTCACTCACAGTATTCGGGACACACCGATAGGAGAACTGTTGGCTAATAATATCTGATATGTTTTGTGTGCTTATCTGCCAAAGCTGATAGGTAAACATTCATAAATGTATAGATGGAGACTAAATCTATCTGGACCAGCATTACAGAGAAATATAACACTTATTTAATATCTCCAAATGCAGTGAATAAAATGAATAAAATGCAGATGCTGTAGTGCAGCAGCTTAATGCTCCCGCTTCAACTCTCCCGCTTCAACTCTCCGCCTCAACTCTCCCGCTTCAACTCTCCGCTTCAACTCTCCCGCTTTAACTCTCCGCCTCAACTCTCCCGCTTCAACTCTCCGCTTCAACTCTCCCGCTTCAACTCTCCGCCTCAACTCTCCGCTTCAACTCTCCCGCTTCAACTCTCCGCTTCAACTCTTCTATTTTCATGCTCCGGATTTAAGTGTCCTGCTGTAACTCTCCCACTTCAACGCTCCTGTTTAACGCTACCGCATTAACGCTCCCGCTTCAATGCTCCCTCTTAACGCTCCTGCTTCAACATTCCCACTGCAATTCATTCCTTTTAACACCTCCTCTTCAACTCACCCATTTTAATGCTTTAACTCCCCTGCTTTAACTCCTCTGCTTCAACTCGCCTGCTTTAATGGTCCTGTTTTAATGCTCCCAGTTGAATTTTCCAGTTTCAACTGTCCAGCTTTAACTCTCCCGCTCCAACTCGTCCACTTTAACACACAACTCACCCACTTTAACTCAACCACTTTCACTTACCTGCTTCAACTAACCTGCTTTAACTCTCCCGTTTTGACTCTCCTGCTTCAACTCTCTCATTTTAACTCACCTACTTTAATGGTCCCGCTTCAACTTTCCCACTTTGAAGCTCCCGCTTCAAATCTCCTATTTTAACTCTCCCACTTTAACGCTCCCACCTCCCGTTTTAACGCTCCCATTTCAACTCTCCTGCTTCAACTCCCCCGTTTAGACTCATTCACTTTAACTCGCCCACTTTAATGCTACCGCTTCAACTCTCCTGCTTTAATGCTCTTGTTTTAACTGACCCACTTCAGTCTCCCACATCAACTTCCTGCTTTAACATTCATGATTTTACTCTCACACTTCAACTCTTCCACTTTAACTCACTCGGTTTAACATTCTCACTTTTTCAGCTGCTTTAATTCACACACTGTAACTCACACACACGTTCTCTAAGCCCCTTATCCTCCTGGGGTGGGGGTTGCTGGAGCCTATCCCAGTGGTCACTAAGCAGAAGGCAGGAAACACCCCGGACAGGTACACATTAACTCACCCGATGTAATATTGTGTTAACGCTCCTGCTTTAATGCTCCTGCTTTAACCTCCACTTTAGCTTCCTTTTTATAATTTACATAATGTTTTCTTTATTTTTAACAGACACTGATTTATACAGACAGGAATGTATTGATATAACAGCAGTTATACTTTACTGATCCAGTTCTTAAAGAAGTTGGTTATTTTTCTACGTATGCTCAGGCTGGGAGCAGCACAGCAGCGCCCCCTGGAGTGGAAGGTTGAGTGCCTCAATCAAGAGCACAACCAGGAGCCATTTAGTCCTGGGATTCGAACCTGCAACATTCCGGTCGTTGGCTCTCTTCAGATTCCACTAAGGCTGTGTGTGAATCCGATATGGTATATTGGAATTCTGGGTAGTTACCCAGTATTTTTCATATTCGTTTACTGTCAAATCCAACGCTGAAACATGTACATTTATAAATGTAGAAACTGGGACTGAATCTCTGGATTAGTGTTACAGAGAAATGTATCTTTTATTAGTGCAGACTTACGAATGCAGTGAAGAAAATAAAATGCAGATATTTTGCTCAAAAGCACAGAAGCACTTAAACATTCTGCTCTTTCAACGAACAATTAATACATCATCAAATATCGGTTCTCATTATTGGTCAAATCTAATCAGTGATCCATGCTGATATTAGATTTATGGCATTTAGCAGATATGATTCCCATTTCATCATTCACCCCTAAACACATAACGCATATCAGGACACATATCTAGCACACAGACCTGAACACCCGCTGCACAAGAACCGCACATTCTAGTCTCAGTTTCCTAAATGACTGGCGGATCATTAGAAAAACATACTCACGCATCAAATGTCAGAGCAGCAGGTCGCGTTTCAGAACTGATTTAACACTCGCGCTCTTCCTTTCGCACTCAGTCTCCTCTACAGATTCAACACCAGCTGCTAAAGCTAAAGCTAACAGCTAAAGCTCCTCTGTGCTTTTGTAATAACCTCTGTTAAAAAGTTTGCTTTCATCAAGTTTATCAAAGAATAAACAACAGAGTAATTAATAAAGTCATTAATCACTGAGTTCCAGAGCTGGACGATAAATCGTTTATGACGCTACACTGTGATACTGACACACTGATATTTTCAGAGAAATGTCTGACGTGTTTCTGATGCCAAGATCTTTTTAGTTTTTGTTATTGTTTAAAATCCATAAAAACTAAATAAACATTGTGTTTATTCTGTAAACGAGCTTTCTGTCGGTTCATGTTTACAGTGTTTTTCTCTTTGGTTTAAGTTTAAGAGAAGAAAATTGAACAAAACAGTCCAATCAGAACAAACTCTGTCAGAATTATCAAACATTCTTTTAG